AATCCCAGCCTGTAATTCCCATCTCCTTAAAAACGACTTTGCTTTCCCTCCTGCCTGCTCGCTGTGCATCTGTGCTCCTTGTGGCTGCTCTGAATTTAGTGCTTGGAAATGCAGTTACACGGCTCCCAGTTGTTTCCACACAGGAGGATCATGTACATAAAATCAATCAAATTTAACCTTCCTGTATTTTTAAGTCCCTTTTAAAACTTAATGCTTGGGGTCGCCCAGTTTTAACTGAGCAAGGTTTCATTCCTGCTCCATGGCCTTAACTTAAACCCAACCCGTCCCGTGTCCAGCAGATCTTCCCCGGGCACAAGATGCTGGAGGATGAGGCATTGCCCATCATCCTTCTGAGGCTATAAACCTTTGCCCTCTAATTTGTTCTCTGCAATGAACGGATGCTTTTCTCTTCCAAGTGGGTATTTGTCACTCAGGGGTCACCCTGCAGCAATGATGGGGAAGAGTAAATGATGTAAAGTAACTCATTTAAGTGTTCCTCATACCACAGGCCCAGCAGCTGAGCTGTGTTCATCTGGGTTTTTCCATTCTCCAAGTATACATTCTAGCCCAAAGGATGGGGAAGAGCAGGCAAGTTAAAGGGGATCCAGGTGGGAATAATATTTATGGGGAGACTGCCTGTACCTTGGCTCTGCCACTGTGGGAGCTATTGGAGTGGATGGAATTTAAGCTAATGATTCATCTTAAATGAATACTTCATTTTGAGTTCATCAATCACTCCTCTTCCTGCTGTGTCCCCACCATCCTTGGGGGTAGGGCTGAATCTGAGCTAAACTGGAGGATCGAATTGCTCTTTCATGGGGAGAAAAGGAAGGATTTCCAGCTTGCTGAGCTCCTGTTTGCAGGAGGGGAGGGATGCTGACAGGGCTGGGGCTGTTCCTGCTGTGGTCCCTCCTCGCTGCTTGTTGCTTTCTCCCCTGAGAGCCCATCACTCGGGTCTGGCAGCAGTTACTGCCTGGCATCTGATTCAGCTGAAGTCTCTTTCACTGTGGACTCAGTAAAATTGCCTCAGCCTCTGGGAAGATTCAGGAGCATGAGATTTTGGAGGCATCCGAGGCAGCGCACAGCGGCAGCAGATGGTGTAACCCTTCATCCCTGTCCTCTCCTGCGCACTGATGCAGCCTGAAGGAGGCAGAGGTTCTGTAAAGCATCTTCTGTATCTCCTGTGAGGCGGGGAACCAAGTGGCAAACCCCTAAATATCTTAGAGCTTCAGGGTGTGCTGTGTGCCTGTGCTGCACCCTGGACCAGGGCTCTGCCGCTCTTTGCACTGATGCTTCCAAGCTGCTCTCTGTGATTTTATTTGCAAGCCAACCTGCACGTTGCTGTAAGAATTCAGCACCACATCGACTGAATGGGGCCCAGGACTGGGGAGAAGGGTTTGAGATGTGATTTGCACGATGCGCTCATTAAAGCAGGGGAAATGCTGCCTTTCTTCTGTGCCCAGAGCTGCTAATCTTGTTCTGAATGTCAAAAACCTCTCCAGTTTCTCTCATTATAGCTACATTTGATTATGGCTTTGACTTCACACCTCTTACGTGCAGGTTTTCCTCCTTCCTTGGCTGGAAATGTCAGTGCGGAGAAATGTTGATGAGCCTTTTGGACTCGCACCCGTTGCTCATCCCCGTTCCTAACGCTGCTTTTCATGATCTGGGGAATCTGAGCATGGGGAGAGCTGGTGGTGAGTGCAGGGAGAGGAAAATGAGGCACCAAGATGAAAGTGCAAATGCAGCGCCTTGGTTACTGCAGCCTGCCTCTCGGTGGGGATTTGGACTGAGTGGATTAATGCCTGCCTCTTTGAATTGATGACTCCTCCTGTGTCATCCTGCGTGTCCCCTCCTGAAACCCCTACGTAAATGGCAATGGGATGTGAATGTACTATTGCAAGTGGTGACTTGATCCTGACGAACAGCACAGCCTGTCCCTTCCTTGTGTCCGAAGGTGACTGGGAGCAGATGTTTCCAGCCTGGCATGGGGATGAAATCCTGCTGAGCAGGGTGTGTTTAAACACTTATCACCTTCTTGCCTTGCCCATGTGCCTTTAATGCCTTTCAGAAGGTAGCTGAAATGTCTAAACATTAAATGAGCAAAAATACCAGGGCTGGTTTCAGCTCTTCCTGTGAATGATTCCACAGGGAATTTGGCTCTTTTTCTGCAGAGGAAGATGAATGCTTTTAGTGTAACTTTTTTATTCTTACTGGGAGTATTGCCTGTCTTGGCATCCTGTCATCCCTTTTCTGGAAGCAGGCAAGATGCTGGGACCATACAGCAGGGTCCTGATGCTGCTATTGCCCCTTGCTGCTGCAAGCTATAGTGCCCTGCGGGCAGTGGTGTTTGTGCTGCTGAACAGCTCCAGTCTCCGCATGGAGAACAGGGCCATTTCCAGCTGTATTTTGTCTTGTGTGCTTTAAATAATATATGTTAATGATTACGTATATATTTATATTATAATTAAATCCCACATTTTGCAATCAGGTAGTTGTCCTGCTGGTATCTAATAGCAAACTCCTCGAGATGGGCTATTTTGGAGAGTGATTGGAGCTCGCTGGGGCATTTCAGGCTCCTGTTTATTATCTGTCATTCCAACCCAGTCACTCACTGATGTTTAAGAGCCATCCATGGCTGTGCTGGCCAATGAGACCCCATCTCCTGTATCAGAAGGGCTGGGGACCAGAAATTGGGGTGATTCATGCAGTGCTCTTCACCCTGAGGACCTGCCCTGGGCAGGTTGTAAGGGGTTGGTTAAAGCACTTCTACTTATTTCAGAGTCCTCAGGAGCTGGGATGGGTTTAAATTGCTGTGGCAGGGAGCTCTGAGCCAGCTCAGCTTGAGCTAATGCATGTCATGCAGAGAAGCTCTGCTCAGATGTTAGCTCAGCTCTGAAGAGTGCTGTAATTGCACGCATCTCCTTGCCATGGATCTGAGTTTAGGCACAGCATCCCATGGATGCGCTGCCTTGGGGTCCGTCTTGTGTCCCAGGCTCGGAGATGCGATGCTGCAGGGGCCTTGTTAAGGAGCTGCACCTCTGCTTGGGTGAATAATTAATGATGGAAAAACTGTTGTGGAGTTGATCTTTTTCTGTATGGTCACAGATTGCTCACGTGCCATCCGGTTTCCATTAGTCCGTATCTCCTCGGAGAAAGATATGTTGTCCCTGGAGCAGCCCAGGAACATCTCCTAGTGTTCCATGACAAGGGAAACCCACATCAGAGCTCAGTTCTTGGAGGAGCATCACTGTGCCATGGTGAAGCCGTTTGGTAGAAGCACTCTTGGGGTGTAATTCAGTGTGAGGCTGCAGTCCAGCACTGCTGTTAATTCTAGCTCATTGCCAAATCTGCCTCTGTGAGGTTAAGGACTTGGAATTGTACTTGAACCATGGAATGCCAGGTTGGAAGGGACCTCAAGGATCATAGGTGAAATCATGTAAGGTGCAGATCCAGCCAAACTCAAGCAGAGCTTAGTGTTGCTGCTGGCTCCCACAGGAGAACCCAAGCATCCCCTGGTCCACGCTGCAGGATGGCCTATGGAAGCTTCATCCCAGCAGCATCGCATTCGGTGCAGGTACCACCTCATCCCATGGATGGGTTTAACCTGCATACCAGGGCTCATGCTGGAGCTGCAGCCATGTGAGGTCCCCGTGGGGCTGTGTGGGACCTGCCACGATGTGGTTGTTCACCGCTCCCGAGGAGGAGTTGTGACATGCACCTCGGTGTCAACAAGGCAACGCTTTAATGCTGCTGCTGTCAGCCTGTCAGGCAGTGCCCACACACCATGTCTGGAGACAGCTCGGCAGCAGAAGGCAAGGCAAAAGTCAGGATGAAATCCCACATGTTCTTGGGTGCTGTCAGGAATGGCTCGGGAGCGTGATCTGCGAAAGGACTTGGGAGAGCCTGGAATGGCACACTGCTGATGGCCTAATAACTGTCCTTATATAGGGTTAAAAGCTTTGTGTGGCCTAAATGGGTCTGCAAATCCACACTGTGTGTTGCAGAAGCCGTGCTGGGGTCATCCTGCTCTGAAATACTATGTCTGCGTCCTAACCAGGAACAATATTAGAGTCCTTTGTACAAGGAGTCCTATCGAAAAGATGAGGGGTGATGGGCACAAGTTATTCCCAGGGAAATTCCAGCCGGACACAAGAGGAGAATTTTTCCCCATGAGAACACTCAGCCACTGGACTAATATCCAGTGCTGGATTCCTCAACATTGGACAATTCAGATTTGGCTGGGCAGGGTGCTAGGGCATTTAGTCCAGGTCATGCATTGCCAAGAAAGGTTGGACCAGATGTTCCTTGAGGTCCCTTCCAAGCTGCTATTCCGTGCTTCCTGAACCTACTGCTAAAAGCCAGACGTAACCCAGGAGGAAACCTTTGCAATGCACGTTCGTGGCAGATGGGGAGACCTGAAGCTTTCATTAAGTTTATTGTTCTCTTGGAGAATTAATTCAGTGTTTAAACCCCTCCATCCTCGATGTTAAAATGCTCTCTCCTCGGTTTCAGCTACAGCCCAGCCTGTGAATGCAAAGGCCCTCTGCTGTTGTTGCAGGTGGAACGTTCTCCCCTCGAGGTTGTCTGCAGGTAGGTGCTAATTAAAGACGTGCTGGGGTTGGTTTGGTGCCTGAGCAAGGGGCTCCAGAACAGGGATAAGCAGCACTGACATTTGCCGCCCTATAAAGTCCAAGGAGCAAATTCATGCCAATTAACTTCACACCTTTAATTAGGAGGATCAAGAGTTGTGCAGGGGTGGTCTCTCATAGGATCTAGTGGTGATTTTCCTCTCTGTTCCATATGGACAGCAGTGAGATCAGCTGGAGGGTGCCAAGCAGCATCACAAACTGAAAGGAGACATGGTAGCATTAGACCCAGGTTTGTCCCTAAATAGCTGAAGTTAATGAAAGCCGAGGGGCAGAGGGGGGTGATCTCTGCTCCGAGCTGGTTTATGGTGCCTTATTTTCTCCCTGGTTTTGTCTGCTGTGCTGACCCAGGTTTTCCCAGCTGAGAAGCAGCTCGGTGCAGCATCCATCCTCCTCTCCCTTTGCGCGGTGCCAGGGCTGATGGTTTAGAGCAATCCTGCAAATATACCGGTGATCCCAAGTCTGAGGATGCAGCTAAACCCCATCAGAAGGCATTTCTGGTAAGTCAGGCCTGGCTTGGGCTTTCTTGAGTATCAGCTCCGTGTGTGTCACAGCCTGCGAATGGCTGCTTCCCATGGGATCATCATGGAAAGCCACAGGTACCTGCTGCTAAGAAGTGAACATGAGAGGAGATGCATAAACAGCAGCACATGATGACTTTGGGGGTGAGCCCTGGATGTGGTGGTTCTGTGTTCAGGTGAAGGATGGGCATGGAGGGGACGGATCCAGCGCTCCCCACCCTCCAGACTGCTGTTTGCATCTGGTGAAAGGCTCTTGCATGACCTCAACCCCTCTCAATGCAGTTTAAATCACTCCCACAGCTCCTGGTGTTTCCAGAGCAGGATCCAAGTGCAATCCTGTTGGCTGCTGAGAATCCATGGAAGAGCCTCAGCATCTTCCACCCCCAGAACCACAAAACAGCTCAGGCTCTCCCTAAACCAGGTTTTCAGTCTGTCTGCAAGACTTCTTTCTCCCCTCCACAAATACGATTTTATTTGTGTAGCGATGCATTTGGGTTCTTTCCCTTATCCATGTGTTCCTTTGAGTAATCACTCGTGCATATGGATGATATTATGTGTAGAAAAAATAGATTCCTGGATTGTCATTTTACCTCACTGTCACTCAGGCAAACATGGTCCTCATCTACCCCAGCAACACATCTGTGGGAATTCTGGCTCAGCAAGGAGCAGAGAGCCCATTTTCTAAGCCAGATTCCCAGCTGATGCGGTTTCACTGACAAAACAATGATCCCGATTCATCTTCCTGGGAGGAAAAGTGAAGACTCGTTCACAGATCACGGATTCAGCTGGCCTCTGATTCACTGTACTTCATTTCGCACATCCAGTTTCAAGGGCCATTAAAATAGGCTCGTGCTTGCTTTGCTAGACAGAAGTGTCACAGTTAGTCACAGGAGAGCAATAAGTGACTGTCCCGTGGGAGCTCTTGAAGTAACCTCCCATGTACGGATACCCTGCACGGTGCCACACGGCTGGATGCTCCTGGGGACAAAGAGGAGCCCAGCTGACTGTGCCTGCCAACCACTGTAAATCACAGCGGCTGCATCGCTGCCAGCCAGTGATGGTGAGACCTGGGGAGTGAGAACTGCGGCTGCTGAGGAGAGCTGTGGCTGTTCAGCCTGGAGAAGAGAAAGCTCCTGAAGGGGAGACCTTAGAGCAGCTCCAGTGCCTGAAGGGGCTGCAGGAAAGCTGGAGAGGGGCTTGGGACAAGGGATGTAGGGACAGGGCAAGGGGAATGGCTTTAACCTGCCAGAGGGGAGACTGAGATGAGCTCTTAGGCAGAAGCTCTTCCCTGTGAGGGTGCTGAGGCGCTGGCACAGGGTGCCCAGAGAAGCTGTGGCTGCCCCATCCCTGGCAGTGTTCAAGGCCAGGTTGGACACAGGGGCCTTAAAGCTCCTCCAGCTCCAACCCCTGCCATGGGCAGGGACACCTTCCACTGGAGCAGCTTGCTCCAAGCCCCGTCCAACATCCCAGAAGAGGTTTCAGGACTGGGTTTTGGTTCCACATTGTGCCTCTGGGAGACTGTGGGCATTGAAATCTGCAAGGTGAAGCCATTCTTCCTCTGCCCCCTCCAGTGCCATAGAGCAGATGGGAACACAGGAAGCAGCACTGCGAAGCAGCAACCTGCCCTGGGGATGATACCTTTGGGATGGGAGCTCACCACAACTGCTGCAGCTCCATGAGTGCTTTGGGGCTGGGGCTGTAAGAGCCCAAAACGTGGCTGAAGTGTTTTAGATTATTTTTAGAGTTTTGAAAACATTGTTCTTCCTAAAACAAATTGTGGAACGGAGAGAAGGGAAAATAGCAGCGGTTTGATGAAATCGGCTTTTTCACTCTTAAAATAGTGTCAGCTTGCTGCCTGCTACTTTAGAAACTGGCTTAGCAGCATCTATTTCATCCCACCGGAGAGGTGGGATTTAAAGCTTCTCACAACACAAACAGTGGATGTGCAAGAGCGGTTTTCCATCCCCAGCAGCCTGGTATCTTGTCCTATTTTAAGCAGCCTCAGCCAGATACATAAACACACTGCTACAAACAACAACAGAAAGAGAATGTTCTACTAAGTAGGGGAAAATAACAGAAGGGGGTGGCAGCCCTTGCTGAGGAGCTTGTGTTGACTCTCAAGTGTTGGGTGCAAGCAAAGAGGGTTTGCTGTATTCCTCTCCTTGAAGATGTAGTTATTGAATAGGAATGCATCTCTGAGGCTGTTCAGGTCTGGTCTGATTTTAGGTCTGGCAGGAGCAAGACAAATGCTGTTTTGCTGCGATGCTGCCTTTACAAGGGGGGAGATCACAATGTGCTTTGTAGCATCACCCTGCTGCTGTGCCCTGGGTGATGAGGGCTCGTGTAACTTGTGCTCCACAAGGCAGTGGAAGAGCAGCCGTGTGGATGCGACAGGCAGGGAGGACTGGTGTGTCCATGGCTTAATTCACCGCAGCTCTCCCCTTCTGGAAGCATTTGTAGCCTGAGGCTCTCCGGGGCTCTTGAACACAAGTTAATCATAGTAATAAGTGATAAATGAGCCCGTTCCCCTTGGCACGGGTGTGATGGGCATTAGGTAACCCTGGGAGCACTTGATGTGAGGGAGGGCTTGCTCCTTGGCGAGGAGGAGGAAGAAAATATTGCTTGGAGTAACTGGGGTAATGTGGCTTCCCGGGAAGTGGAGAAGCAGCAATTAAAGATGCGAGCACTGCATGGCATCATTTGCATCATTAGCCTCAGTGTCTGCAAATGAGGCAGCTCTCCTGTGCTCCCCAGCATGTCCCTGACCTGCCCAAGCCACCATCCCAGCCATGGAAAGGCTGGATCTAAAATGGTCCGTGCAGGAAATAGGGAGAACTCTCCTTTGCCTTCTGAGCCTCTGTTTCTTTCTCTTTGCTTCTTTCTCGGTCTGAGATGTTGCACTCCCCAGACATGACCTTGTTGTTCCATGAGGTTGTATCTTGTATTCTCTGCAGGATTATTCTCCATAAGCCACGTTCCTCCTAACCTTTACTTTTGTGTTTCTGGATTTCTATTGCATGATACAAGAAAGTATGGGTTAAGCCCTAGTGGGCAGGGAATGGATAAGAAACTTCAGAAGAGTGCAGAAGCAGTTTTTGTTCTAATTCTTTACCTTCATTTACCTGCTGAAGTGATGGATTTTTCTTGCCTTTTATTCCTTAGTGGTTTTTCTGTATTCCCTTCACTCGGAATTGAACTTTTCACTTGCATTGTGGTTGTTTGGTGCCAGTTATGTGAGTATTAATCCTTTCTATACTGCTTGTTTTAGCTTTCACAGGGAGGTGAGGGGCTCTCTTGGGTTAAACTCATCTCAATTAGATGCCTTCTATGATGCTGCCTATGTCCTTTGACCACTTCAGGGGGATAAAGGTGCAGAGGTTACAGGTACGGAGCAATGACTCTTGTCAAGAGGACAAGAACTCCATTATCCAGATTTTCTGGGGTAAATCAACCACCTCATTTTGGGGAGGAGCTGGTTTTGATCAGCACAGAGGTGCCCAGGGCAGATACTTGGTCTTGGAGGGGCAACAGCAGCTTCCTGGGTCCATACCCAGGCTGCACCATAAGGCTTTGTGATGGGATGCTGGGGCAGTGGGAATAGCTGTGAGATGCATGTAAGGAAATAGGGTGTGTGAAAGGGTCTCAAAGGCAGATCTGCTTTGCTGAGATTGCTAAGGCTTGCACAGGAAAAATATATTTTTACTGATCTGGGCAATTTGAGGCTTTTTCTCACATTCTTTGCCTGCAAATCTTCGCCCTTTGGAAGGAAGCGGAAAATCCAGAGCTTTTGTGATGAAAATCACTGCTTTTTAGTTTGTTTTTCTTTTCTTTCCCAAGGTTTTCATCACAGCAGGAGTCAGAGGATGTGTGTAACCTGCCTGGTTTTGCCTTAGTGGCAGCATCGATGACATGCGGGAGCTGGTCAGAGGAGCGTCACTGCGCTGCCCTTAATTCTCCTTGCGCAACTGATGGTGATCTAATGAATGAGGCTCAGCCAAACCCTTTTGCCTCTCTTATGCTCATCAAGCAATCATCTCCCCCGTCACGCTTTGCCTCCAAACACCTCATTTGCAGCTGGCTGACCTTGGCTCTCCTCCGTGTAATGGGAAGATGAAGAGGTGGGAGCGTTGAGGGCTGGCTTTTATGGGTGAATCATGGAAGAGCGGCTGGTGCGGGCTCGGGCACGGGAGGTGCTGTGGAAACATGATGTGCTGTGCCATGAAGGATGGTAGCAAATAGATTGAGCAGGGGATGAAAAGGGAGAGGGCGCTTGGTTAGATATTGCTGATGGAAACATGGGGGAAATAAAGGCATAAAAACATGTCAGAGACTGAACCACGGTGCAGGTCTGTGGCTCTTAACTGTGTAGTGAATGCTATAAATGACTTGAAAAGCTCTTCAGTGACCAAGGGGTTCTAGGGAATGGTTGAGTGAAACAGAGGAATACTGATTTGGGCAGAACTTTTACCCTAATTTAAGCAAGATCCTGTTGTTGAGATAAAAGCTGCTTTGAACCAACTGGAATTATCTTCTCCAAAGAAGAAGAAAGATAAAGCTCTTGTGCAGGTGAACTTTAATCCAACGTGTATCATCTGCATGGGAGCCTTCAAACAGTTGTAGGAATAAGGGTGGTGCTTAGGGTTAAGAGAACTACATCTCATATGAGGAAATTAGGAGTGGATGTTCCATGAGTTTTAGCAGGGCAATTACAATTTATGGCTGCTCAGGGGGAGCCTTTAACCACATTAAGCTAAGGGTCTGTCTGCATTGCAAGCTGAGCTTTAAAACTAAAGAGGATTTAGTAGTCCTGAGCTCCAAAGAGACCCTTAATCCAAGTTCTCCTGTGGTTATGGCCTTGGTCTTGGCTCTTGGGCTGTAAATTGTTCCTGTAAAACAAACACCAAAGTTATAACTTCCACAGGTTTCAAAGAGCTCCTATGGGAAAAGGTCTGCCTGGATTGTGGGGCAAGTTCTCACACTTCCAGGTGCTATTAAACTGCATGAAACCTCCTTTTTTTATAGGGGAGTCGATGTCAAACCCTGCTCTATCAGCTTGCCACGCTCTTTGGGAAGGAGGAAACTTCACAAGGCAGGTTTAACCTGATTTCACTGACAGGTTTACAGCTGGGAGAGCATTAATAAACCACAATTGCTATTCAGTGGGCAGTAGCCACTGAGCAGTTATGTTTTGTCTGTAGGCAGCCTAATGAAACCGGCAGTTAAGGACCTAATGAGAATTGAAACCATTGCTCCATGGAGACATCCCTTTTCCTGCGCTCCCAGAGGAGTTCAGTGATCCTTGACGTTCAGGTGAAAACCACCTTGTTCTGTACAAGTGGTGATGCACCTTTCCATTGTGGTGTTTCACACGTGTGTGTCTGGATGCTGCTGCATTGGGAATATAATCTCTCCTGGCTTGATTCCTTTCTGGAGTAATCAGAGTGGTGTCAGGATTTAATCCTCTCTCAGCTCTGAGGTCTGGCTTTTGAAGAGCCCCAGTCATGCTGTTCTTCTCAACCTGCCCTTGATGGAAATGTTAGGCCATCATGGATCATTTATCAAGTGCTGGCATTGTTTCCCAGGGAATGGTTTTGAGTCTTTGAAGGGTTCTGTGGCACGGGAACAAAAATCCTAATGCTTGGTGGGGTTTTCAATTGCCCAAGTTGTAAAACCTGTTGAAAAACGTCTGTTTCCTTTCAGGTGACTGTTTCCATCAACATTATGAGCTTGGATTTCTTTTCAAAGGGCATTTCAATGTGTTTCTGGTTGGGTTTCAGAGGGGAATGGTGGTTTTGCACCAGCATCAGCTTGCAATCTGATAAGCTTCTGCCCTGGCAATTGGCTGTAAGTGCTTCAGGAGAACAGAATAACAACAGGACAAAATCAAGCAGCGACAACTCTGCGATGGTCTTGGCTGAGTTTGCACCCACCTTTTCCCAGGTGCATTTCACTAGAGAGCTGCCTGGCGATGGGAAGGATGAGGATGCAAACCTTCCTCCACCCCGGCCATCGGTTGGCGCTGCGCTCATCACGAACACAAGTTACATCCTGTACAAGTCTGTGAAGCCAAGGCAGAGGGTTCCAGCAGAGCTCAGCTGTGTCATTTACCAGGCGAGTGAGGACCAGCCTCCGCACCGCATCTCCACAGCTGGAGATGGGTGCGTTGAGCTGTATCCCCTGACAAGATGAGAAACGTATCATGTTTTGTCTTGTCCTGCACAGCAGACATCCTAATTCAGAGCAGCACTGTCTTCTGCTGCTTTCTCTGCCTCCTTGCACTGATGTACACTCCCAGTGAGCAGACCCATCTGTTTCAGACCTGTCACTTCAACTCTCCCACTCATGCTTCCCTTTGTACTAATCCACTCATCCTTGAGAAGATATCCATTACTGGAATAATAGGCCCTATTGGATCAGCCTTTGATGTGATGAGATTTTTGTAGTCAACACGACAATTTAAGCCACTACAAATAAAATATCCTCCCCCTTTTTTTTTTTCTGGAGAAGAAATTAAGGGAAAAAACCTTCATGTTACCCACGGTGCGTTCAAGGCTGAAGAGGGTGAAGGTGGAGATGAAGTTGTCTCCTGGGAGGAGTAAATTTGTCAATTTAGCAAATTAGAGGGAATACGCTTGCACCTTTAATGTAGTCAAGTACCAAAATAATGTCAGTGTGAGTAGGCAGGGCTGGGGTGGGAATTGCTGAGCAGAGCTGTGGGGTTTGACAGATCTATTCACACAAGAGCCCATTTGCTGATGCCGGCTCCATGAAGCGGGGCCCAGAGAGGCGGCTGGTCAAGGACAATTTCTCTGCCTGATTTTACACCGTGTTGCTACAAGGCTGTTTGAGAGTGTTTTCCCCTCCCTCTGCATCCCTGTGGATGATGTCCTTGATGAGGCCGTCCTGCCACACGCTCACTGCCTGCTCATGGCACCGATGAGCCTTGCACCACGCAGCGGTGCTTGCGAGGTCCCCTTTCATTGAAAGCTGTGACGGGTTAAAGGGAATTTTGTTGAATTATTCAGCAGCATCAAAGGCCCTGAGAGAAATAATCAGTGGCTGTGGTTGTGTGAGGTGGAAAGGAGGATTTCAAGCTTTTTGGCAGACAACAGTGATGCTGCAGAAGCTCTGATCTAGGGTACAATGCTGGGGACATCATGAAGAGGGGCGGAAGGTCCCTTATGGCCTCTTGGTCCCACTTGGCACATCTTCCTGTCCAAAATCAGCTCAGACCCCATCCCCTCCCAATGCTCTTTGTGCTTTCTGCCAGAAACAGGACAAAAGTGGAGGGAGGGGGTGGAAATCCCAACCGAGCAATGCTGAGGGCGAGAGCTCCATCCCACAGGGATGCTGTGGAGGAGGCTGGAGGCAGCATCCTGCTGTGCTCATGGGTGCTCACGCAGCGTGTGCCACCCGGTGAGTTCCTTCCGCAGCCATTAACGTGCTCCTGATTATATTTAATTAATTAGCAGCAGGGTTGAGATCCTGGAGTCGGAATTGTGCTGGTGGAGGAACAGGAGACAGCATGTTCCTTGGCGCTGGAGCTCCTCTACTGGTACCCGCGACTACATTTGCCAAGGTAACGCGGGGCTGTGACTCAGAGATGCGCAGGCAGCTGGCAGCACAGTGCTGGCTCCACGGAGGCTGAGCATTTGGATTTGGCACTTCCAGGCACCTGCCTCATGTCCCTACAGTGCTTTTCCATCCAGGAATGGCGTGGAAAAGGGCGATGAGTCCCCAGGGATGCGGTGCCAAGAGGTGATGCGATGAGAGGAATTTTCCACATACTTTCTTGCTGTGTTGTTCCCTTCTCTTGTGGGATGGTCGTAGAATCGTGGAATAGTTTGGGTTGGAAGAGGCCTTCAAAGTTCATCTAGTCCGAACACCCTGCAGTGAGCGGGGACATCTTGAACTAGATCAGAACCACTTCCACCCTGATGCACTGGGCTTCCTTCCCTTTCTTTGGTGATTTTTTCCTCTTCTATTGCTCACTGCTTATGCCATCTCCCTGACAAGCTCACAGAGAAGCCAGCCAGCCAGGCAGATAAGGAAACAGATGCTGTAGAGTGCAAAGGTCAGATAAATACAGAGAGCTCAGGAGAAAAGGCTTTGTGAAACGGTGGGAAGCTGAATAGGTGAAAACAAAAGGATTTTGGAGTGCAATTGCAGAGGGGAAACCCTTTTTTGCAGAGGAAAAAACCCACCTTGGCCTCCATAAAATATCTCAATGAATTCAGGGCAATAAAAGAGAAGGAATAATAACTTTCATATTGGTAAATGTGAAGCACTGCAAGGCCTGTGGCCTCTCTGCAGGAGCACACATAGTCTCTGCAGCTCTGCAACCCTACAAAGCTGTGCCTTGTGCATTTACTCTGATATCCTCATCACTTTATGGCCTTTGCCACACAAGGAATCATATAGAAATGCTCCCATCTAGGAAAGCATTGAACAGACTGCGGTTAAGCAGGACGTACGTGTACCAGCCTAGCTGGCTGCTGACCTGAGATTGATGCTTTGCTCCCCATTTCTGGGTCATTTTGTTTATTAGGGAAGAGACAAGCCTATAATTAAAATGCAGTTAATTCCAGGCTCATTAGCCTGGATCACATTGCATGTTCCTTCTATAGTAAGCAGAGATGGGACTTGTACTTATTTCATTAAAGATGCAAAATGCCACCAGGTGGTCGCTCTCCGGTACAGACAGTGACTTATGCTGCAGCCTTTGTGCAAAACCATGACCCAGATCCATCCTAATGACTCCACCATCCCCAAGGGGACTGGTGGCAAGGGCCATGACTAAAAGCTTGGGTCTCTGTCCTTATAGCTTGGTTGTGTGTCCTGGCCATGCTGATCCCTCCTAGTGATGCATGGTGTATAACCCTGGATCCCTGTAGTATGGAGGGTTGTAGGGGCTGGTCTTGGGTCCGAGTCAGAGTGTTTGATGGTTCCCATGTCATTTCATCGTGGTGAGAACAACTGGTGAGTGATGTACCTCTCATCCCTCAGCTACTGAACTAAGGCTGCATTCTGAAGCGGTGAAGTGTATGCCTGCTGAAGAGTAACTGTCAGAGGTAAAAAGCAAAGGGAGATTAAAACCACCTGTGTTTGCTATTTAAATCCCTTCAAACAACACTTATGGTTGTCCTGATAAAGACGGGGCAGCATTCAAACAGATGCTGAACACGGTTGCTCTAATGCTTATCTCTAGATAAGATTACAAAGACGCTATTGTTGTTCCTCAATGGCAGCTGCGATCTCAATCTCAGCAAGGGCAGCTTGGAGGGGGAAATGTGCTGGCACTGGGGACAGGGATGGGGTTTGTTTCCAAAGGAAAGGCTCCTGAAAACAGTAATTCTATGTAGAGCCCGCAAGCAGGCACCTGGCAAGGGATTTTGTATTCAAACACAGAGAGGAGAATCTAATCAGGGCTTGCTAATTTCCATGGAGTCAAACACTTGGGATTCACTTCAGACTCGCATTTTCCTGCAATAATTCAACACAAACACTGCATATTTATACATGGACACTTGGCTTTTCTGGTGTTTGATGAGACTACAAGTCATCCTCCTCCTGTGGCCACTGCAATCTTCCCTCTCCTGTGGCTGAACTACCACCTCTACCCCCAGGATTCTCCATCTGTTGCACTTTGCATATTGTTGGCTCTTCCAAGGGAAGCAAACAATGCTTGCTTAAGGAAGCAGATTTGATTGGAAGCAGGTCCTGCATAAAACCAGGATCCCATCTCACTTCCATCGTCATGTACCTCTATTATTTTTCTCTTCATCATTGCTTTTTTCCATTTCTTCTTCCTATGCAGTTCTCATTCTTCAGCATCATTCAAACCTACATAGAATTCAGATACTACTTCTTGTATATTTGTATCTGCTGTGATACTTTATCTCAGCTGGATCTCCAGTTAACATCTGCTTCTCCCTGGGCTGACAGATGTATTCTTTGAGCTGTAAATACTGCAAATCAGAGATAAAGACATTTTCTTACCCTGCGAATAGGATCGAGGTCCCTTTCTACTATCTCCCTTACCATCTGAAGTCTCCTTTTCTCCCAACAGCCTCCAGGGCTTCTTTTGGCTAAGCTAAAGCAGAAAGAGCTGTTTAGGTTCACTCCCTGGCTCTATTTCCATCTCATGCAGGGCTGGATGTCTGGTTGGGTAGGCAGGTCTGCAGATGGTCCCAGTGCTCTGCCTGCTGGTCTCCAGCCCAGCCGTGGCACACTGTGAGCACTGGTGATGGTTTCCAACACTGTGCTCCCTCTTTGCTGCCAGATCAACCAGAAGACCCCTCCCCATGGACACCCCAGTGCTACAGCCACGCTTCTATGAGGAGATGGGGGACAAACACAATAGAAATGGAGTGTGTGACCTGCAGAGCTGAGCACCGAGCTGGGAAGAGCATGGTGATGTCTCTCCGGAGGTGTGGGGTCTAGAGCAGCTTGCTCCAAGCCCCTGTGTCCAACCTGGCCTTGAACACTGCCAGGGATGGGGCAGCCACAGCTTCTCTGGGCACCCTGTGCCAGCACCTCAGCACCCTCACAGGGAAGAGCTTCTGCCTGAGAGCTCATCTCAGTCTCCCCTCGGGCAGGTTCAAGCCATTCCCTTTGCCCTGTCCCTACAGGCCCTTGTCCCAAGCCCCTCTCCAGGTTTCCTGCAGCCCTTTTTAGTTACTGGAAGGTTGCTAATAGAGAAATGCAGAGTCACTTTGAAAGATGCTTTGCTATCTAAGAAAACGTGCTGCTGGGCTTCCCTCTGAAAGCAAGTCCAATCTCTTTCTCTCCTTCTCTTTCTTTGGGTGCTGTTATCCCTCCGTGGCCAGGACGCTGCAGGCATTTAAATTCTCTTCTTCAAATCCTTGTTTCAGAAAGGGCCTAAAATACATTTTCTTCTCGGATGCAGCAAACAGGAAGCCCACACCGCAGCCGTCTCAGCCTCTCTTCTCCTGTCTCAGGGAGAAAAGAATTCACCAAGCCCTAGAGCCTGACTCACTCGCTGTGTGAGCATGAATTAACCAGGAATGTTCGAGAATTATTCCTGAATAATTCATGAACCTGAATTAATCATGCATTTTCATGAATTATTCATGAATAACTCATGGAAATGCAAGGTTTATTCATGCTCCAAAAAACCCAAGGCTTTTTCTCTTCTCTTCTGCTCTGTCTCCCTGTAAGAAACAGACCTGAAACAAGCTAAAGGGTGGGGGGGGGGAGATATAGATGTATATGGCAAAATAACAGGAATCATAATGCTGAAACAAAACAAGGAGGAGAAAAGAAAGCAAAGGGTCTTCTCTTTGCACTGGGGACGGCAGGTGGGAGCCTTCTAAGCCAGACAAAGGAGACCTGACAAGGAACTGTGGTGAAGGGACAAGCCCAAGGCAAAGAAGTGGCCGATCACCTCCTCTGCTGGAGCAGGCAGCTGGGACCTGGATAGACAGGAGACATCTTGCAAGACTCAGCACCTGGAGCAGGGAGAACCAGGCAAGGACCCAGCTCTGTCGCTATCAGGGTTTTGATCTCTCTTTCTTTCTCGTGTTTGTGTGTTTGTGTAGTTTTGTTGCATTCGTTAAGGAGAATGAGCACTGGGTAAGTGGGGCAGGAGGGAGCAGCAGCAGCTCTGAAGATCGGTGGGGTTTCTTTACGTGGTGCAAATCGCCTCTGGAGAGCTTTTTGGGGCTGGGGCTGTCGTTTGCTGGTTGGAATATGGTGCTCTTTAAACAGAGCTGTGTTTCGGGGAGGGGGATGTCTCAGCTCTGCCTTTATCCCACTGTCTTGGTGTGTAACCTTTGCTGGGCTCAGAGATGCTGCAGAGCATCGGCGGCAGGGAAGGGGATGTGGGGAGCCAGGCAGTTACCACACAATTAATTTGTACATGGTGCTTCCTAATGAAAATAAACCCCAGAGTGTGTCTTGGCCAAGAGAAAAGGATTGGAGCGAGCCAGGGCTGAGTCTGTGCCAGCAGAGCAGGCTGATGGTTCCTTGCAAGGAGCTTTGCTGTAGATGATGGTGATGGTGGAGGGGAAAAAGCAGAAGGAGGAAGTTCTCCAGGGTGAACTGAACCTCCCAAGTGAGAGGGATTAAACCCAGGCTTTAATGGGGGTGCACAGGCAAAGCAAGGGACTGCAATACGCTAGGTTGTAGCTGCCCTTCCTGCCAGCTTGTCCCTGCTCCACGGCTCCTCTCCCTGCCCCAGCTCCCTCCCATTGGCTTTGGACACCAGGACCATTCTCATGCAGGGCTCAGCCCCATCCTGCTGCAGAGCAGAGCAGGATGGCCTGGGGTGATGCTCAGCAAGGTGGAAGCAGGGTATCTCAGTGGGACCCAGGATACCAGCTCCTTGCAGTTTAGCTACTTGGCTGCCTTAGATATATCTTTCACTGGTCCGTGCCTCAGTTTCCCCATGTGTGTAATAGCAGTAATTTGCTGCCCTTGTTATCAAAGTACTTTGACGTTTACTGGGGAAAATAACTGTGCAGTCAAAGGAATGGTCATTTCCTGGAATACTGCTGGGTCTTTTTGAGTTTCTTCTCTTCACTGCCTTGATATCATACAGGTAAAATCCTGTGCTGCAGGAAATTGCTGTAGACCTATTAAAGTCAATTGATCCGTGCTCGTTCACATGGGCGCAGAAACCAACTCAGTGGCTTATCCAGTGGCTTATCCCAATGCATCCTGTGTGAGAGCTGGTCCTGGCTCTCCCCAGGTGACACAGGTCATGGCTGGAGATGCAGTTCCTCTTCTGATTAAACTGGGGCACCCTATAGCCTGTGCCCAGGTCAACCTCCCAGGGAAGGGGTTTAGGACAAGGCAAGCATAGAAAGGCAGGAGAGGAGAAATAACTGGTGGAAAAGATACAGGCACAAGTATTTTATATCCACAGGCTGCACTCCTCAGGTAGAGCATCATTGGCGAATCCTCCCGCCTATGGGAGAGCACAAAGCCACGCTGTGACCCTTCCCTACTGCTCCCCTTGCACTAGGTGGGCAGCCCCGATGTCGACCAAGCTCTACGTCCTCATCAGCTGGCCCGATGGCAGCAGGGTGATCAACATTGAGAACATCAAGGAGCCCCGAAAGCCTTTCCACCTCTATGCAGTGGGGGAGCAAGTGCTGGCCCGCTGCCCCGGCTTCAGCGGGCTCTACTGGGGCATGGTGGAAGGCATAAGTGGTGAGTGACACCCCTCTGTCCTGGGCTCTGCAATGTGGGGCTGCTCAGGAGCAGCCTTTAATGGAGTTCAGTGCTGAAAAATCCTCTCTTCCTACAGAGCATAAAGATATTTTGGAGAAGAAGCTGCTGGAAGACAGACAGCTCCTGGAGAAGTTGAGTGAGTAAGGTTTTGGAAGGTGGCACCTTTCTTCTTCCATTGGGATTTTGGGATGGGAGGGTGCGGTGTCGTAGTCCTGTCATATATCAAGGTAACAAGCATTGGGTGGGAGGTGGGAGATACCCATCGTTGTTACCCCATGGCACATCTTGACTGTCTGCCTTGCTTTCAGAAGCAGAGCCTCCCGTCCATAGCATGATGCCACCCCAGCCAAAGAAATCCAGGAAAACCTTCCCAAAATGGACCCCGGGGAATGCACCCAGGAAATACCACAGCGACAGGACTTACCCTGCAAAGCCCCTGCTGAGGGCGGCCGAGGCCAGCCTGCCCCATGATGCTGGCAGCTCCTCCATCACCAAGGAGAGACGTGCCCTGGGCAATGGAGCAGCAGCAAGGTCCCGCTCACTGGCAGGACCCCCCCACCCAGCCAGTGCCTTCACGCCTCCATCCACGTTTGTCACCGTGGCCATGCCAGGGACTTCCCAGGGTGAAGAGGACGGGGCTGGTCCAGCTACTAGAGGTAACAGTGGCTGTAAATTAGGACATTGGCTTTCAGCTCTCTCCTGCCTTATCCTGATGGTTGGGATGGGGACCTGCAGAGCTGCTTTGCTCCAGGGCTCTGTGTGCTTTCTCCCAGGGCTACAAAGGTTAGAGATGATGTTCTATGGTCCTTTCCATGCGGGATATCTCCTCCAGGAGGGCTGTCTAAAGAGACATGCTGTGTGGTAGCATATGCTTTCTACATTATAAGGCACCAATTCTGTCTCCTAGGTTAGCAGTTCTTTCTTCACAAGCTAAAAAATAATCTAGCCTACCTGAATGAGTGTGAAACACCCCAAAGCTTTGTGCCTCCATTAGTCAAACTGTCTCAGATTTGCCTATATCCCTGCTTTATCCACTATTACATATGTTAAATGTGCTTATAAAAATACACTATTGCATTACCTTCCTGCTGGCTAACGGCAGTCTCCAGAGACGCACTGGCTTTGCTTGCCTTGCCCACTATGTCTTCTCTGATGGGAACAGAAGAAGAACCCTTGAAATACCACCTTTTTCCAACAACACAATCCCCATTGCTCAATCTTGGAAAGCATGTCTGAATCACTGTGTTTATGCAAAGGGAATAATGTGTTGCCATGCAATCTAGGCAGCAGTGCATAGATCATCTCTTCCGGAGACAGAGGGATTCAGGACCTTCTCAACAGCTTCTTTCCCATCCCTGCATGTAGATTACGTTGCCCTGCCGATGAAGAGGAAGTCAGATGGCACCTTGTCCCAGTGCCAACAACACATCTGCCTGAACAGGTACTGCTTGAAGGCACAGTGAGGACCCCGAATGTTTCACACCGTACATATTCATTTCATAGTGTGGGTTCTGCCCATTCTGTTTCCATGTCCTGGTCGTGCTTGCATTGAATGGATGTTAATATAGACTTAAACCCAAAGTGCAAAAGATGAAGGGGGTTTGTGTGGGTACACACTGCAGAGCAATTGAGTCCCTTGTGCTCTGGAATCCTCATCCCTTGGTGGGTCAAATGGGAGGTCCCCGGTGTCCACGATCCAGGGCTTGCTCTGCATGTAAAGAGGGGTGAACAAGAGGTTGCCACAGGAAGAACTGTTGATATTTCCTCTCCATCCATTTTATTCTTGCTGTAAATGAAGACAGAATTGCTTTGAATTCCAACCTTTGAATTCCAGACAATTCTTTTTGGGAATGAATAGGAGCATGAAGCTTTCTGTGGCCGTGCTTTTTACCTTGCTTGTTTCTTCCAGCTGTGAGGAGCTCAAGCTCGATGCTTTACAAGAGACAGATGACTTCGAGAGAGTTCAGAAGAGGTTTGGTCCTGCTGAAGTGGAAAGGTGATTAGCTAAAGAAGGCACTTGCTCTTGACTGTGTTTTCCTCCTCACTACAACAAAGAGCAGTGAGACCACAGCTGGGTGAGAAAATGGTGTAATTTTAGAACCAAGAGCTGCTGAATCACTATGTAATCAGAGCCAGGATTCTCTTTCAGACTGTAGGAGTTAGAGATGCAAGCAGGCTCTAAAACAGTGCAGAAAGCACAAAGCTCGTGCCTTTAACAACCAAAATGACATCTATCGTGTTTGAACATGATCGTGTTGTTCCTTGCTTTATTGTCCATTACTTTGATGATAAGTACCCCATGATGGACAGTTTTCCTGCAAAGAAATAGGTGTCAAAAAATCATCTCACAGTACTGCATTGTCATTTCCTGGGTGTTGTTTTGTGCCACATATATCTGCCTCTTGGGGCTTGCAGGACAGGGCTTATAACTATCCTTAAAGCTGAGAAGAAGGCTCAATATCAAGGCCTCCATAGGTGCATGACAAGGAGGGGTTGAGGGTTAAACTGCTTATTTCTAAGCTACTGAAAAGTCCAGACCATGTCATTCTTCTCTCCTGCCTTGCTCCTCACCCAGGCATAGCTGGATGGGCTGACACTGTGACAGAGAAGTTGTCCTGTCCCTCTTTGGCTGGAGGTGTTGCATCCTTTAGCAATGCCCACATGGTGAGGCTACAGTGTCTTCTTGCCTTTAGACATATAATGTTAACTTTTCAGGGTGGAGAAGATAGAGCAGCTGGAGAGGATGGTGTTGGACCTCCAACAGGATGTCCTCTCTCTGAAGAAGAAGGTGCAGAGGCTGGAATCCCTGTCCTTCCAGGAGGAGCCCCACCGGCAACCATGCGAGGTGGTGGAGCTCTTCAACGGCTACACCAAGGAACAGCTCAAAGAGACCATCCGCTTTGACCAGAAAATCAGCACCGCCTGCAAGACGCTGCTCTACAAGCTCTTCACATCTGACTACATCCAGAGCCACTCCATCACGGGCCGGAGGGGCAACACTTTCCGAGAGGCGAAGCCCATGATGGATGAACGCTGCATCAAAATCATCCGGGTGCTGCTGAAGCAGAAGTTTGGAGACCACCTCAGTGACACAGTGATCACGGAGAAGATACAGAACGTGCAGAAAGCCCTGAGGCAGAAGTTTAAGACAGAATGTCTCTGATACCCTCTTCCTGCCGTGCTCACCCGGGTATCTAAGCACACAAAAGACGAGTCCAACCTGCTGCTGTTCAGCTGATTCCCTGCAAGGAGCCAACCCAAGTGAAGCTCACAATGCAGATCTTTCACTGCCAAACCTCTGCCTGCATTAATAGAGCAGATGTTTGGGATGTTTGCCCAGCTTGGCTGGGCTTTTGCACATCTGCTCCCACTTTACAAGTCCCTTCCCATTCAGCCTGTGTGCAAGCATCGCTGCGGGCTGATTCTAATGATCTCTTGATGGACATGCTCAGAAGCTTGAGGGTTCCACTTTGATTCAGTAAATCAGCTTCATTCCACCTTGCAGTGGGGTAGGAAGAGAAAGACTGGCTCTAGGACAGGGAGTCCTGCTGCAGGTGGGCTTTGTATCACACAGCACAGCTTCTCTTTGCATGCCTGTGGTTGCCTCTTCCTGCCTGTGGGACAGTATTTCCTCTTTTTGCTCCCAGTGAGTGTGTTTTACAATTTCCTGCAGTAACAGAAAGCATTCAGAGAAAGAGAAGCTCATTTTTGACTGTTTTAATGTAGCTCTGGGAAAGAATCTAACAAAAATTTGCTCAACAAGAGAAGTGCTCACCCATGCAAATTACATTAATTTTCCTTTCAAAACCAGGTTATTTCCATGGGGAAATCCTGTGTGGTTTTATTCCATAAAAGTGATGGATGGAGGGAAAAATATGGTCCACTGTAGTTATACTTTTCCCTTAAAAATCAGACATATCCTGTATGCAATCCCTATAATTTAAATAGTTATTTATAACCTAGTCAAGAAATTCCAGGAACAACCAGGGTTTTTTCTGTGTAAGAGGTTATAGGAAAGGGCTGGAAAGACATGTCTGCTCCAAAATAGCTCAGAGCTGGCGTTTCAGCGGGCTCAAAGTGTTTTTAACTTCAAAGGAATAAGATGCTGACACTAGTCCACCTAATACAGAAGAGTTACAAAATACCAACCATTCCCTTTTAAAGAGGCTTCTCAGGCAAGAAATTGGTTTTCTGAGTTTCATGTTTAGATTACTCAGGAAAGGAAATGTCAGTTGTTTTGCGTTAATCAAAGCATTTGGTTTAATTTATGTGTTTTGTTCAGTTTTCAAGGATTTAATCTCTTCACAGCTCCACGAGAAACAATAATGCAAAATAAATACGCTGGAAAGCAGGGGCCCGTTTGGAAATGAATGAAAAGGGAACTGTGTTATTTTCAGAATATTCCCCCTCTTCCTTTTTTTTGTAGCTGAAAAGCAAAATCATTAATGGAGGGTTAATGCTGTGAAGGGTTTTGATTTTGGTGGGGATATGCTTGCCAACGTATTTGGCACTGCTTTCATCAGATGTGTTTAGCAGTCATGCTAAATTGCTGTAGCCCATAACTAAAGATATCCCTCCTGTTTCCCCAGTGCAAATGCTTCCCTTAACTCTCTGTTATGCAAACATGTCAGTGATGGTTCCTCATTTGTATGGACCTTGACTTGAAGAGCGGCTGGAGCTGGTCTCCTGTGATCCCTTAGAGCCAGGAGTGCAGCCAGTCCTTGGAAATATGCTGAAACTGAGCAGAACTGCCCCAGAACCTCAATGCAGAAATGTCCCTTCTTCCTGTGAGGGTGCTGAGGCGCTGGCACAGGGTGCCCAGAGAAGCTGTGGCTGCCCCATCCCTGGCAGTGTTCAAGGCCAGGTTGGACACAGGGGCTTGGAGCAAGCTGCTCCAGTGGAAGGGGTCCTTGCCCGTGGCAGGGGGTTGTAAGTGGATGAGCTTTAAGATTCCCTCATTGCCCAAGGGAATAACAGCAGAAGAGATGGAGAGGATGGGTAACACCCATCCCAGTGAGGCACCACTGTCACCTCCTGCATGCCAGGGCTGCATCCAAGCCATTTCCCTGGGCACACATTTTTGCCTTCATCTTCCCTCTTGATGCTTTATCAGATCCCTCACCAAGCTGCAGCCTTAAAAGCCAGCTCACAGATATTATTTATTAAAACATGTGCTGCTGCTGTTCTCCCCCACTGAGCCCCCTCCAATGAGCCTCAGGTCATTACAACAAAAGGAGGCAGGAGAAAAGTCGGAGAGGACGGACTTGCTGCAGGGAGTGATGGCTCCTGAAATGAGTCGTCTCTCATCAGCTCCTCTGGAAGCAGATGAGCCAGTCGACCTTTCTGCTTGAAAGCCCTTTGGTGGTTCCCTTGGAGGTGAACTTCACAGCCTAATCCTCTTGCTGATATGCAGCGAGTGCTCCCAGAAAGCAGGGCCAGCACTGTGGGCTGATGGATGCTCCGTGTGCAGCACAGCCAAGGCACTAACAAGCTGATGCTCAAATGGGCCCTTCGCAGCTATGAAAGTTACCCTTAGCTACTCTGGAAGGCTTTGATACGGTGGAGAGGGCTGAAGAAAGGCAACACAGCTGGCTTTTTGTTAAACTTCATTTTTAAGGTGTTTGTGAAGCAGAGGCAGCGCTTCCAGGCTAATTGGGAGCACTCGCAGCCATCGACAATCAAACATCGCTGTGAGGACGCTGATGCTCTCACCTCCCTGAACTCCAGCTCTGGCTAATCAGCCTCGAGAGGGATGATCATACAGTGCTGAGATGTGGCATCCCTTTGGGGATGAAGGGGCCAGGGAAGATAGGGGAGGAGGAGGAGGGTTTATGCTAGAATCACTTCACCTGGGGATGTTCAAAGCTCGTTTCTCTCTCTAAGTGATGAAGGGCAACTCCAGTGAATTGCATTAACCTCCCACTTTAAGAGAATTACTGGGAGAAGCTGGACAGGTCTTTCTGTTCAAGTGAATTGCTCAGCATCTTGTTAAAAACAATGCTTCTGTTCAGCTTCTGGGCCCTTTGGGGCAGGAGGATATAGGCAGTGAAAACAAGGGTCAAAGCACAGAGAGCCAGCAACACACAAGGTTCGGGGGAAAATGGGAGCCTTCCCTGCATTAGGCTTCTGCAATTTCCAGTTGTGGAGATGCTGCTGATGGTACAGCTGATTTCACATGGGAAAAAAACCCCAACAACCAGAACACCAGGGGAATTGTCTGGTGTTTAACCCCATTTATTTCAATTGTTTCTCCCTGACTCTGCCAAGGGGATTCCAGCATCCAGCATGGATGGGTTTTAATTTGCCCATTTCTTGGCTTGTAAGAAACACCCCGTGAGGTGCCTCAATATCTGCATCCCCCTGAAACTGCAGCACATTAGCTTAATGAAAACATGTGAACTGTGAGCATCAGTAAAAGGAATAGTGGGAAAATGTAAGTAAATCCCTTCTTGGGTTTTAATCAAGGCTTACAAAGCCTGGCTGCCTTTACATGGGTCTCAAGCTGCCATCACTGGGGCTGCTCTGAGCTTGCTGGATGCACTTGGAAGAATTTCTGATGCAAAATTAGTGGTGCAGCGGGTGGTGGAAGTGTCTTGTGCTGGTTTGAGATGCTTCCACAGACAGCGGGAGGAATGGGATGCAGCCTATAGAGAGCTCAGCTGTCATTTTCATATGTCAATGACATATTAAAAAGGACAAGCCTTGGCCTGTATGAGCTTGAAGCTGTGTGCCATCTCCTACTGGTGTTCAACACATGAATACCCAGTGTCACCGGAAGATTGGCGTTGTTCTGATAAGTCTTTATCTTATTTGGCTTCAGAAAGACAGCAAAAGAGAGAAAATGCACATCGAGATGTGGCCCTGGAGCTATATGGGTGTATTGTATTTGCACATTATTTTTTGACCACAATCCTATTTCCATCACTTTGCATACCTCTGTGTGTGCAGATATGTCACGTTTTCATAGAATCCCAGCCTGGTTTGGATTGGAAGGGATCTTAAAGCTCACCCAGTCCCAACCCCCTGCCATGGGCAGAGCCACCTTCCACTAGAGCAGCTTGCTCCAAGCCCCATCCAACCTGGCTTTTAGGTTTTATAACTTCATAACTTCAAGCAGTCTTTCCTGTCTCTGCTCCAGTCACATATTCATTACACATAATGTTTACCACTATTTCTCTGCCTGCAGTACATGATTACATTATTCCAACTCCTATCTATCTCCCCCATCTATTCAGAGTCAAATATAACTGGGGAGATCGTTATTAAAACACAGAAAGCACAGAAATAAAATTAACCACAGCGCTCTGTGTGCTCAATACACTGAGGAAATAAAGGACCTTCCACTTCTAATAAAATCTGGATATGAATTGCCTCATAAGAGCTTAAATGAATTATATTCAGAGGCTGGAAAGAGAGAGCTCGGAGCTCTCTGACTGCAGGATGATGGCTTGATGGGCAGCACATGGAAACAGACCATGAAAGCTTTGGGACCAGGTGTGATGTTCTGCTTAGAAATTGAGCTTCAGGACTTGAAGGTTCTCAGGTGGTTAAAGCTCCTCCCATTGACATTTTAATTGCATTAGGGTTGCCAGCCCTTCTTGCTACCTCTGGAGGGCTCAATCACTGCTTTGGTTCTTGCCCATGACTCTTGATGGAGAAAGGACCCTGTAGATGAGCGGTGGCTTCTCAACCCTGTGCTTGCTCTGCTCTGATCCTCCCAGTGTCCCAGGAAGGATTTGAGGTATGGATATGGTTTGTCAGCTTTAAAGTGCTGGAAGATGAAGGCTGCTGAAGAACACTCCCCAGTCCCTCTTCCTTGCAAAGCCCCAGTGTCCCCTTGTCAACAGCATGTACCTGCTGTCCCAGGACATCGCCATTCTCAAGAGGTGCAGTTTGGAGACATGCTTTCTTTTACTTCTCTGTTTTATTGGGTGGGTTTTGTGTTTGGCACATGGAGTTAGCTGGAGCAAAGGGGACTGTGTGCCTAACTCAGCAACGGAGAAATTAGCACCCCACGAGGCCCAGGCCTGCATGGGGCTTATTGATTGTTTCTCTTCAATATAAGCAGTATAGCCCAGAGTACCACGCAGCCGATGGAAGAGGAGACTGCAGAACTGATGTACTCCTGGTAATGAATAATCGTTACGCTCCAAAGGAGTCTGT